CTCTCTCACCAAGGCTCTTCTCCCCCGATAGCTCAGTTTGGCTGGACGGCCAGCTCTAGGAAAGGGTCTGGTCGTCTTAAACGTCTTCCATTTAAGGATTATGGAGGCCACTGTGCTCTTGGGAATCTTAAGTGCAGCAGAAATTTTTTTGTAACCTTGGCCAGATCTGTGCCTTGCCACAATTCTGTCTGTGAGCTCTTCAGGCAGTTCCTTTGACCTCATGATTCTCATTTGCTCTGACATGCAGTGTGAGCTGTAGGGTCTTATATAGACAGGTGTGTGGCTTTTCTAATCACGTCCAATCAGTATAATCAAACACCGCTGGACTCAAATGAAGGTGTAGAACCATCTCAGGGATGATCAGAAGAAATGGACAGTACCTAAGTTAAATATATGAGTGTCACAGCGAAGGGTCTGAATACTTATGACCATGTGATATTTCAGTTTTTCTTTTTTAATAAATCTGCAAAAATGTCAAAAATTCTGTGTTTTTCTGTCAATATGGGGTGCTGTGTGTACATTAATGAGGAAAAAAATGAACTTAAATGATTTTAGCATATGGCTGCAATATAACAAAGGGTCAAACATTTAAGGGGGTCTGAATACTTTCCGTACCCACTGTATATAGGAAAAATCAGCACATGCAATACAGAAGCTGATATATTGCTGATAATAAGGAGTCTAATACACACTTACCCATTTACACAGCCTTAATATGCTGCATATTTTGATTTTACAGCACATAAAAGTTACTATGTGCTTAAAATATTTTTAGTGATTCAGTTTGGTTATACTGTACATTGCTTGACAAATATAAATATCACAGTTGAATGTTTCATAAAATAGGTCTATTGCTACAGCTGCAGGCAGTACAGTCGATGTTAACTCATGCACGCTGTTTGCTGCTCGGTCTAATACCCTAAGCTTTTTTTGTTTTTTTACTGAAAAGAAAAAAATGATTTCCCTCTCCTTCCAATTAATGATTGTTGTGTTGTATGGCATTGGAAGTCGGGAGATATTAGAATGAAGCAGCCAGGTGTGAAATAGCCAGAGAGAGAGAGAGAGAGAGAGAGAGAGAGAGAGAGAGAGAGAACTAGGACACATTTAACATGTTCAGCACCTCAGTGCAATATTTCCTGCCTCCAGTGAAACATTGTGCTTTGGAGAGACAAAGAAAAAAGATTATGCAAAAATAATGTGAATGTGACCATATGTCGATATAACTAGCTAGTCGAGGACAGGCACAGACAAGGAGACCGCACAGTGATGTGAGGAGAAAACTGTGAATGAAAGAAAAAAATGGGTAAATGAGAAGAGAAGAAACAAAAGTGAGAAGGAACAATAGGGGGGAAAGAAGACTGGATAAAGAATACATGGAGGGAAGAGAAGTTAAAAGTACATCAAGATGTTGCACAGACACCCCCCCCCCCTTACAGGACCACACATTAAACAGTGTCGTCCCTCACCTGTCGTCTACTACCTCAGATAGGTTATTTATCTAGTCCTGTATCCTGTGAACAGATTTTTTTTCTATGTCTGGAGAAATAATATGCTAAAAAAGAAAGAAATAGAAATACAGTTTTTAAATAAAAATGGCTAGTTCCCCCTTTACTTGTCCAGTATTCACCACACACACACATTGGGCATTATTGAGCATTTTCCCAGCTTTCATGTCTGCACAGTCACAAAGGCAGCTTTCCAGAACAGCCTGTGTGTGTTTTGTTTATGTTAACAATAACAAAAGCCTACAATTTATTGTACTGGAGGCACATTAGGATACTCATATTTCTAAAGGCAAAAGCTTACACAGTGTCACGTCACACACTTGTGAAGTCATTAATGTATTACAGAGAAATGTAATAATATTACAAATGGCATGGGATTTGAAGAAACACAGTTGTTTAACCTATAACAAACGTAAGGATGAGCTTCACTCGATTTCTACAAATTCCTGTGGTACATTCTTTTCACCACTAGGTGGTTTCTTGGGCACTTGAAGCTTTGGCTGGAAAGCTCTGATGCCTCAACAAAGCTTCATCTTTCAGTCACCATTATCTAGTGTTTCCTGTGTGGTGCTAGATAGTGTATAGTTTCTGTCTTGCAGAGTGCGCAAGGCAGGAACTTAGGTTGTAGCTTTTTAAAGCTTTGCATTATCAGTTTTTCTGTTACTTCGTGGAATGTGGCCGCAAAGCGATGGCCCAAACACAGAGGTTGGAATATGTAAATGTCGTATGTCTGTCACTACGATATCCCTGTGAAATGAAATGTTGATGCCAGGAAACAGAACAGAACGCTTAAGTGCAACTCACTACAAGTGCAGTTCATCTCCATGAGATACTGGTGACCTCCTATTGCTGATGTATGGACAGAGAAAAACAGAAACAAACCACCACATGGAGGAAGAAGAAATGTGGTACAGGCAGGGAAAAACAAGTGTAGCTGTGTGTTTAGACTGTGAGCTACACAATCAGTAAGTCACAGGAAGTCTGTTTATTTTCTATCCAGCTGAGGAGCCAGGGAAGTTTTGACCAAACATTTGTGTTTACTGGTCAGGTTGTAGACAGGCAATCAGATACTTCCCTTGTTTCCCTACTGATGTGATTCTACTTTACATACAGTCATTCCAGAGGATGAAAGATACCTGTAAGCGATCAATAGACAAGGAAATGAAAGAAAGGGGGAAAAGAAAAAGACAGAAATGGAGAGAGGGAGACCTAGAGGCAAGACAGTAGGAGAGAGAGGGAGCAACAGAGAAGTGGCAGCTGGATCGAGAACAGGCATGAGGAGAATCCCAATAACCTCATGTTCTTTCTGCAAGAGCAAGAATAATACACTGTGTACTGAGCGAGTGTTTAGGTGTGTGTACACTGCATGTTATCAGAGGGAGGTATGTTTGTGTGTGTGTGCGTGCATATGTGTGTGGCCTTGTTTGGGTTTGTGAGTGTCTGAACAGGCTACATGTTCTAGATGTACTCTTTAACAAGGTTTTGTGTGTTTCCAAGCATTCGTGTGTTCATTCAGTGCTGACTTAGTGATTATCAGTGTGCAGTGCCACTCATGTGCAACAGGAGTCACTGTTGTACTGTAAAACTGGAGAGAAATTTAAATTGACAGAGAAAGACAGGTAGGCAGACAGAATTATTTCTTAGAAAGACTTCAGACTGGGTTCATATTGACAGTATAAATTACATTTTACTGCTCTGGTTGCCCTGCCTCATCTTGCTGTTTAAGATGGCTGGAAAGTTGATCTGAGAATGCAAGTGTATGTGTTATGTTATACGGTCACAAAGTGGCATATGGCAGTGGAGGACCTCTTGAATACTCATATTGTGCTTGACCTCCAGCATGCCTCTGATGTCTTCCACCTTGTTCCAGACCACATATAAGTGCATCAATGTTCCTATTTATAGAACACTGCAATTCTGATAGGCATAACAACTTTTGTGGCTTTTAAGCCCCTTTTCCATCACCTGGTACTGGCTCAACTTCACTCGACTTGACTCAACTCTACTTGGTTTTGGTACCAGGTTCTTGGCTTTCCACTGCAGATGGTCCCGTCTCAGTGTAGCTGGTTGTCATAGCAACACATTACACTGCCATGACATCGTCAGCAACGGACAAAGTAACAATGGAGGACATTGAAGGTACGCTGTTCTTGATTCCCAGTATGTGGCTGTTTTTAGTTAGTACAGTAACTACAGTAAAATAGCGGTTAGCATTAAGTAACATTGCTTTTAGAAATTGCTGTTTGACTTTCTTTGGCTAATCGCTAATCTGCAGTCTTTACACGTCACTGGTTGGTACCGTGTCTGCTCGCTTGGAATCTTGATGGAGGTAATACCAAAAATAGTAGTAGGTACCAAGTGCTATCCTCAGCATCTGACACAAATAAGCTGAGTTGAATTAAGTCAAGCCGAGCACAACACCACCTTTAATTATGATGGCAATAATAAACATATCATTGAATTTATACATTCATGACAATATAACTAAAAACTGAAACATTTTGAGCTTCATACTGTACACACAGTTAAGGTGGAAGTTTTGCATTGAAGGGCATAGAACTGTACAGGTGTACCAAATAAAGTAATGTACTTTTTTCTTTCTTTTTCCTTGTCCAATTCAAGAGCATTGTACAGTGTTAGTTTTGTACTTTATGCTGCATAGATTGTAAAGCCCCTTGAATCAGATTTGTACTTTGTGATACTGGGCTATGCAAATCAAATTTGACTTGACTTTTGGGAAATGTAGTTATATGCTTTCACAGTCTGCAATAGACATTCTGACAGAGTGATATTTTATACCTTAATGAAGATGAACAACACTTTTTTTTTTTTGGGGTGGGGGGGGGGGGGCTACAGGTGCAAAAGAGCACACCTCTTACTGCACCAAACTCTACTTACTGACAGAGGTCAGAAATGAGAAGTTTCAGCTTCTCATTATCAGTTACATTTATGCTCAGCTTGGAACCACACAAGACACCTTTATTCACAGCAGGGGTGTTGCTAGACATAAAGCTCTAATTTTTTTTTCTTGAATGTCTGCTGCATGGATGAAATGTGCTATACATTGTGCCATATGAACTTCCCTTGCTTAGCCTCCTATTCCACTGCCATACTGGCGCTACTGAAACAACTACTGGTAAAGGTAAAAATGTAGAGATATAATCTTTATGGAAAGATTTATTTCTACATGCATTAAGAACATTCTCAGCATGTTTTATGGTGTAAAGGTCTGGTCCTGTATTGCACATTTGTTTGCATTGCTCTGAATCTCAAGCAGCCCCAGTCTGACTTGTCAAATTCGAACTTTCACAACAGGTTAATCTATCAACAAGTACTTTAAAGAAAAACACAGTCTCTTTTTCTTTGCAACTCACAAGGCCATCAATGCTCCAATTACTTTAAAATTGTACTGTACACATAAAACCAACGATATTTGGGCTCCATGACATGAGCATCAAAGATGTTACAGCCTATTCATTAAATGCAGAATGAACAGTTCAAAGTTAACATCAACCACTACATGTGATGTGTTATCGAACGTACTTGGCATTCATTTTATTTCATATTGATAAATGGCATTTTAAGAGCAGTCCAGCTGATTATATGCACTGATGGACAGAGCTCTATTTACTTAAACAGCCATGCCTGGTTACATACTAGCTAATGTCTAATGTTACCTGGTTTACCAACTACAGCCAGGTCTTACCTCTCTCACCATCATCTCTCCAAACGTCTTCTCTGTCTTGCCCTCTAAAGAATTTTCTTATTCTATTATTAATGTTTGAGTCAAAGTAATATCACTATTATTCAAAAACTTAACTCAGTCCCTGTCAAATATGTCAGTCCATTCCTTTCCTTTGTCTCTTGCGCAACACATGGAGGGCTGCATGTGTGCTGCAGTGCACAGCTACACTGTGCACAATGTGCATATGTGCGGACCGTGATGTATGAGCCCTACCCACTGCGCCTCAGCTTTTATTTTGCTTTGACATTCTGGATTAGAACAAGGAATAATTTCTGTTCCCCTTATTGTCAATCTAAATTAATCCACTGCCAAACACAAGAGCGTGTTAAAACTCGAATGTATGATTTCACTGGGGCCCGTGTCCCAGTAAAAGGGGTCAAACTATGCCTATACTTCACAGTATTTTGAGATGAAGTGTTTCTTGGGATTTGAATATTATACTAATCAGCAGCCTAATATGCAACTGGTAAACACTCCCTGCATTTGAAAAACCACAGAAGTAGTACAATGCAGGCAGTGTAAATTGCATGAATAGAGTACATGCAATGTTTATTTATTCAAAATATGTCCAGTTTTTTTGTGTGTTGCTATTCCAGTGTAGTTGGAGAAATGTGTACAAAAGAGTGTTCAGACCTGAAATGGATGTCTTGTTGTTCAGAGATCATCAGCAGGTTGAGAGATTTGGATTTGACAAGTGAGCCATCCTTGATCTCCACCGCATGCTGATGGAGTACCACCTAGATAATTCCCAAAGATAGCTTTTGTCCTTGTGTGTGTGTGTGTGTGTGTGTGTGTGTGTGTGTGCATGTCAGGGAAAAGACAAAATACAACTCATGATGTGTTAAAATATAATTTCTTGTGCATAAAAACATGTTAAATGTGCTGCTGCTATACTGAAAATGAGCTGATCTGAAGTTGAAGGAGAGACGTGAGTATTTTTTAAAAGATGGCACAGTTTTTCCCTGAGGCAGTGTGCAGGTGTGCAGGTTGATGTGTGCTGATTTGTCTGGCGGCTGCTGGGTCTTATAGCTTAAGCTGTGATAAAAGTTCAAGGCTATCACATGCTTTTAGTGTACTCAATTTAATGATAAAGAAAGTTATTAAGCAAACTTAATTTCATACCTAACTGGTTCAGGAAATTTACTGTACAACAGCCATGGACACAAGGAACAATGTTAAAAACATTACAGGACTATTATATTATCATCATAATTATTTCTCCAGCTGATGGACTACAGGACTGATAAAAACCAAACAGCATTATTGGAATACCCATAATATTTCTGCAGTATATCCAGCCACTCTCACTTTATGCCTCTCTTTGAACCTGCTAACTTGCACATTTGGGGAATGCATATTGATAAGTTGATGATGTAGACTGGATGGTGTTTAGCTCAGACAATACAGGTTTGTCCGTCAACAACCGTTCTCTTCAGATACCTGAATTTCAAACCTCTGCTTCTTATTTAAGACATCAACTCTGAATATAGCCCTTAGGCAGTAATAGTGGATCCAGACTTTAAATGAGGCTGCTTCCTACCGATAAGAATATCCACTTCAGTTGTG